CAATCTTTATAGTTCTAATGGATTACAATGCACGCTGCCACTGGTAGATGGCTGAGAGAGTGCAGCATACAATATCTATAGTTCTAATGGATTAMAATGCWYRCTGCCACTGGTAGATGTCTGAAAGAGTGCAGCCTACAATATTTTAAATTATAATGAATTACGATGCTTTCTGCCACTGACAACTATCGACAGCTTGTATATATCTATGGACTGCAAATGGCAAGTAACAACGAAGCTTCCATGAGGGTATAATATTTTTTTTCTTTTATAAGAACAAATACTGACCAGTATTTAGGTAGAAATGTGTATCAGGAGCAAAAAGAAATGAAGGGTTCCAATCAGCTTTGAAGCTGTACTGCGGGACGGTTTGACCACTTGAACATATGTGGGGTTAGCTGTTTTGCGGGACGGTTTGGCCACTTGAACATATGTGGGGTTAGCTGTACTGCGGGACGGTTTGGCCACTTGAACATACGTGTGGTTAGTGTATTTGTACTTCGAGCATACGTCATCTTTAAACTGAAAACTATTCGGTGAAGTTGTATTAGAATTTTCCGTTGTGTCTCTCTTCTTGCGCCTCGAGCGAAGACACTTTGTCTTCCAGAATGTTCCAACTGGAATGCTGAAGTAGACCTTGTGTGTTTCTAAATCGAGAAACGACGGCACTGTTGTGAAACTGCAAGATGCATCTTCGTTGTATGGTTTGCCATGGCATTCCTTGTGCTGTGAATATGGGCTGGCGGCCCTCACTTCGTAATAAGCTTCCACTCCGTGATGGTAAGGATTATTAAGGATGACGACGTTCGGGGATAGCAAAATTGGAAAATGAGGAACGGGATCATCATAATTGACAACGCGCCAGCTGTTATTCACAAGCTTATCATGCTCCAAAGCATAATCGTAATTTCCAACTCGAGGCATTCCGAACGTGTATAATATGATATTTGTAGGAGAACCAACATGGTAATAGGCGAGCCAGGCACTTGCCATTGATGCCATCGCGCCACCAAGAGAATGTCCAGTCACCCATACTTGATACGATGGGTATACGGTAACGAGAGCTTTTACTTCCTCCTTTAAGCAAGTCCATAACTCCTCAAATCCTTTCTTCCAGTAGGACTGAACTTCGCCACCCAAAAAAGATTCCTTAGGCTTAGTTAAAGCGCTAAAAAACACTTCTAACGCTTGATCAGAATCCAAAGATCCGCGAAAAGCAACAGCAATAGCTTTCAGAGAATGAGAAACGGCAACATAGGCAGAACATTTGTTACCAGAGCTGTCGCATTTCCTTGTGACGACAATTCGAAGCTGGAACATGGCAGATGAGAGAGAATTATTTAGACATCCCTGAGGATCAATCGGGTCATACGCTGCCGCTGACAGAAGTAACATCTTCATGGATAACTCTGGCTTGTATCGAGATAGTGTGTTACCACAATGTGATTCCTCGACTATATTCTCAGCTCTCTTGCATGGGTTTGTGAAAATGGCGCCTGGCATATGGCACTCGCCATCTCTCTTGCACCATCTACATTTAATACTTGATTTAACGCAGTCTTTGCAATTGTTGCCATCACAAACTAACTCAACGGCATCGGGAAGTACCAGAAGGATCAAGAAGTATAAAACTGCAGTACAAAACATTCTTTCCGACTTAGTTCGAAGTAAGAAGTGATACTTGTGTTAACACTGACGCCTAAATGCTTTTTTTAGTACTAAGAAATGTCCACTATAGCTATTTAAAGCACTATTTTCCAAGAAACATATTTCTGAGAATTACACAGGGTACCCAGTTAACGACTCGAATACGCTTTGTCACTAAAATTCAACCGATTTTTGTGAAGCTTGATCGTCCGGATGAGTATAGTCTTGAGAAAGACAGTCGTTTGTGGCGACTGACGTTTCGAAAACCCAAGCAAAAGTCATCTTCAGAGTCCAGTGAGAAAATTATGGAAGACAGTCGATGGTATTTATACATCTCCAGACTACAATCACAAGGGCGATCGCATTTCACAACAAATTAATAACAACTTGATAACACCTGGTTTCAAGCCATAAATTTATTCAAAGTATTAACAGTAGAGTTTACTCTTGCATTTATCTGTTTCATTTTTCCCCCCGTCAAGCTGCCTTTGTTCGTTCGATTTTGTCTTCAAGCTCAAAAAGATCCAACTTCATCTGTTTTGTTTTGATATGACCCACAATGTCTGAAATCCAAATTGTTATCTATGATTGGTCAGTTTTCTTTTCCGGGGAACCCCCTTCAAGAAGGCTTGATTTGAATATGCAAATCATTCGTAGTTAACGCAGTAACGTAAATCAACTTGAAATAAAAAGTCTACAAACTTATTTATATTCAATTTACAAAAGAGTAAGCATTATAATTCATAAATAATTCTCTTTATTTTCAAGTAGGTATCTATTTCTTGCCTTCTTGGCCTACACTCTAGTTTTGCTTTATTTTCGCCCTTTTAGTAAGGAATACAAACCCAGCAGATCGGTGTACGTCTGGCTTCGTCTGTGAATAATAATCGTACCTCTAACAGAAATCTTAGAAATATCTCTCTTACCAAACGAATTGAATCTGATAAATTGCATTTTTATTTTGAAACGTTATTACTTCATAAATTCATTTCTAGCTCTGGTTTATGAAATATACATGTAAATTATCAATGGTGGAAGATATACTGGTTAATTGTGGTATAGCGATGGTTGGTGTTTACAAACATTAGCATTTGCCAACCATTACTCATCTACAATAGTTCTTGCCAATTTAATTTCTTTCATCAGCAAATCGATCTATGGTTGGCTGGCAAGGACAATAGCGTCGGTCAGAAGGAACAAACATTATTCAGAAGTTTATTAATATGATTGTATTCTATTTACAAATCCTTTATTCCAATAGCTTCCAATAACACGATGTAGTACTTAGCTGACTTAGACGTCTGCGTGTCCAGTATTTTTCTTGGAATTACGCGTTTTTGTATGAAAAGGGATATTGGGACGATAAACGTCCCGCTTCTAGGAATCAGTAAGAGCACACTATTAGTCATCAGTGCCAGTTTGATTATTTTCCTGTCTTGAAATGGAGAAGAATGTGTTACAGAAATCGTTTACCTTGAATGATAGCGACAAAGATTTCAAGACTAAAACATACCAATATGTCTGTGCTCTACTGAATAGCGGCGGCGGTACACTGATACTGAAAACCAAAAAGACGGCCGATGAAATCATCCGTCCGATTGAGCAGCGTTTTCAGAATTTCATAGCTACGTTGGGCATCACCAAGAAACTAAGAATTTCCAGTGAAACATGCAACCAAATTATTTTTGAAGTCAAAGCACATGACGCTTTATGTACGATGAATTACAACCTCTACTTACCAACCGATACTCAAGTGATGCTGGTGTGTTCTCTCGAGGTTAGTACCGTGAAGGAGATATTAAACATTCGCAGAATCGTTGATGTTACTGAAACAGATAAAAGTGTTCCAACTACATTTATTTTCGGCCGGGATATCGGCATAAAAGAATCGAAGACAGTGCAATTCAAAAATCTTAAATCGAATAAGTTAGGAAGCACAGATCTTGCCAGCCGACTTAAAAACAACAAGTTGACTCAATACGTCTCTGCATTCGCTAATCATTGCGGGGGTCGTCTGTACTGTGGTGTTCGAGATGACGGAATAGTCGAGGGGCAGAAAGTAATGGACGAAGAAAAAGAAGACTTGATTAAGAAAGTCAGTGAGTGTATAAACGAGATGATATGGCCTGATTATTGTGGTGAGCCACAAAGGGGAAGACATGGGCAGTGGGATATCTCTTTCGAGCCTGTGACAGACGACGAAGGTAGCCCGATCCGATTAACATTTGTTATCGTGATATTTGTAGCTGCTTGCCAAGGAGGCGTATTCTGTAGTGAACCAGAGAGTTACCACATTGTTGATGACACAGCCAAGAAAATGACATTTGCGGAGTGGAAAAGAAGATKTTTTTATCCGATCACGGAGCGAGACACTAAGATAGTCCCTACAGTGTCACGGATTTGTTGGAGTTCGCCGAAATTAAGGCTATATTGTGACAAACTTGATGGAGAACTGCTGAGAGAAGTAAATAACGGAAAATGGGATAAATTTAATCAACATCTTGCAGAGTTGCAGAAAGGCGATAACACGGGTGTCGAGGAGCGATTGGTTGTCTTATCAAAGCGGTATTTGTTTCATTACAGAAAGAGCCAGTACGAAGAAGCCAAAAATTGTCTCACAGACTTTGATGTTCTTTTATCAAAAACAGAAAATACCACAATTTTCGATATTAGGAGAAGCCTTATACTTTCGGCAATGGAACGATCTCGTGGCAATCACAAAGAAAGTTACGAAATTGCAAGGGATTGTTTATTTAAAGTCGAACAGCTTGCTCCAAGTATTTTGACTGCAGAATTTTACGTGCACTTTGCCACCATGCTCACGATCATCGAAAGCAACAAGGACCTAAAAGACTTGCTGAAGAAGGACTTACAAAACCGTTACGATTTCAAATACGAAGCCCTCTTATTCTACAATAAAGCACTCCGACATCTGAAAGAAGCCGATTACGTTCCAGAATCAAAAACTGATATGCAACAAAAAACTTTTATCAACATGGCTATTTTGAAATTAGGTTGTTCGCTTTCTGGTGATGTCGTAGATGATTTGGTCACTGAAGAGGACATTAAAGTAGCAATCGATTGCTTAAAACGAGCAAGTGATTTGGAGATAGATTCCGGTTCAATGAATGGTTTTCGTAAATGCCAACATAGCTTTGCGAAATCCAGCCTTTCCTATCGGAGGTCTCAAGCTCAAAAAACGCTAAAGAAACGCATTGATATTCTTGATCATGCTATAGATGAAGCTGAAGAAGCTGAGGATCGTGCTAATAAACACCATTTTGATGAATTATCACGTTATGCTAGACAGCACGCACGAGTGTTCAACTTGTTCAAGAATGGAACTAGATAAACTATATAACACTGGATTACAGCAGTAATAATAATAAGGTAAATATCTAGTAAATGTCATGATCAAAATTTGCTCATGTTTGTTAAACTTTGTTTAAAAGCAAAAAATAAAACTAAACAGAATTACTAAAAAAAAAAACTTAAAAAAACTTAACTTAAAACTTAAGTTAAACAATGTTAACTTTAATATAGTAGCAAAGATGGCAACATTGCTACCTCATGGTGAGTTTTCCAAAGTACCATTTACAACTCGTCTTTTGATTGCGAACACTTTTTAAAGCAAAGGTCTTATCTATTTAGTTCTAATCCAGATCCAAGTACTATACATCCGTGAAAAAAGATAAAATACTAAAAACATTAAGAGACGGAAACTTTTTATTTAAATGTGTTTGACATTGCTAGACTATTTTATGGAAAAATAAATAGAATAAATAAATCACTTTATTTAAGTGTCTAGTCGTTCTAGCGCTTTCGCACTAATTGGGGACACTTTTCGCTCACACGCACTACCACTACATTTAATATTCTATGCACACAACGCTCGACTCATGCACATGTTGATTTTTACGGAGGGAGAAAACCGGAGAATACCCTAGTAGTATAGGAGAGAACAACACATCAAACAAACTCAATTCACATGTGGCGACCGCAGGGCTCGAACCAGCGACCCGACCCGTTGGACTCACAGCGGTGAAAGACGACTACCCAATAATGTTAATGTAATTTTTTTTGTTAATGTAACTTTTTTTTAGTCCTAATGATCTAAGATATCAATTTTTCTTTCTGTTAGCTTACTGAATTGTAAAACCCTATATAATGTATATATATAGCGCTATATAAATGTAATATTTATTATCATCATCATCATCATCATATGGGCCTTGGGAAAACAAGAATATATTTACAGGATACAGCATAACAATTTTTAAAAAATCAAGTAATAATGAAAGTTATCCTAATGTTGTATGCAGTTCCCAGGAGGGCGATCTTCTGTACTTCTGTGATAGAGATGTCCCCTTTTAAATGATTGACATTTACCTCAGTGGCCCAATGACAATAGGTATGCTTTTTGTTTCCATACCCCACATTATTTTAATTTCTATTTCTAGATCTTTGTACTTTGAGAGTTTTTCTACTTGTTTTAGGGGCACATTTAGTTCTTCTGGGATTAACACGTCTATCAGAGAACGTCGTTTCTCTACTTTGTTCTTGACTATAACATCGGGCCTATTAGCTGTGATGGTTTTTTCCGTATGTATTTGCATGTCCCATAGGACTGTTGCTGTGTCGTTGTCCATTACTTTTTCAGGTTCATGTTCTTACCATTTTATGCAGACGGTAAAACCATATTGCTTGCAAATATCATCATCATCATCATCATCATTATTATTATTAATTATTATTAATTATTATTATTATATTTTTTTAGAATAAAAAGTATTTTTTTAATCTTAATTTAGGTAGGATTTGAAAATCCAAAGCAAGTTCTACATTCTAAAAGATGGGGCTGAAGTCATTACCTGGTAGGTCTTGAATTTGCAAAAGAAAAAGAAGAGAAAATAAAGGAAAAAAGACGTTAAAGACCTGTACCGAGTTTTTAATTTTGGTGTTTAATCATTATGTCCTAACGTTGTAGTCGGACACAGTGCCCATCCCTGAATTTTTGCAGGGGTACTCAAAATTAGTTGCGTTCACATCAGTGCCCAGCGAGGATTGTACTCTTGAGCACCGTGCTCAGGAACCAAGTGTGAACAGGCTCCAGGTAAACCAAGCCCTCAGCAAAAAAAGCTTCTGAACAGAATTTTCATACGATTAATAACTTATAAGGGAGATGAAACGTGTATCACTATAACCATGCTACAAAATATTCAGATATGCAAATTAGGAGTTTTGATACCATATTTGGAAATATGGGTTTGGTTTCAAGATGGCCGCTTCTCTCACATGCCAAACTCGCTGAATTTCCGACTTTCAGAGGAGATTTATTAAATCTTCCAATCAAACATGTGTAATATATGCCTGTAATTTAGTTTTGGGAGTTTTTGAAGCAAGAGGGCGTGATTTACTAGAAAGAAATTTGTCAAGAAGAAGTTTAATATTTCGGAGCATCACAAAAAGAAATGTATGGCTGTTACATGTTTCAACTCCTTATGAGTTTCTGGATTAATGCTAACGATTCGACCTTGAGGGATATTCGTTCCCTCTCCAACCACTATTATGAACAGAACAGAACAGAACAGACAGAACAGAACAGAAAGGAAATCCAACCCACGTCTTCGGTATTCTAGTCCRATGTGTTAACCACTACACTACAAGGACCAACCACGCTTGTAAGCAGCCGGAATATGAAATGTAGGGTACTCGTGAGGAGCCCAGAGCGATTCCCGCCAAGGGTATTTGATATTTTTTTTCCTATTCTCTCTATTTCATTACACACACCGAACTACTACTATACTATGTCTATCCTTTGCGTACATATTTGCGGTGTTCAACTTACCTATAGAGAAAAAATATCACTCTGGGATCCTCACGAGTACCCTACATTTCATATTCCGGCTGCGTTATCAGCGTGACTGGTCCTTGTAATGTGTTGGTTAACACATCAGACCAGAATACGGAAGACGTGGGTTCGATTCCCCCGCCAAGGGCATTTGATATTTTTCTCCTATTCTCTTATATACAATCATTAGCCAAGCTTTGAATAAGAGTGACGTACTGTTGAGAGCATAACGCATGCCCAATTTTTCTTCTCCACATGTGTGTCATCTCACGTTCAAGTGTGCACCACGACATGTGCAGGAAGTAATCACATGACTATTACTGGATGGAAAATAAAAATAGACTCCCTTATCTAATAACTTTTGCTGGATTATACTAATGCATATCCAAAAAAATTTTTTTTTTTATACTTCTTTTTCCCTTATGAGATACTTTCGATTTCAAGATATGAAGCAATTTAATGTCTGTTTTATAAGGGACCTTCGGCTTAACTAGTTATCGAAGTGATAAAACAGCACGTGAACGTGAAAATGGCCTATTTTATTGCCTAGGTAACGAGTTTTATGCATCTCCGCGTTAATTCACAAATAGACATCAGTTTTTTATGTGTCTGTCCTCATCGTCATTGCATTGTCAAAGTAGTGTCGGCTACGAAATTTATCTTCAATAAGAGTACAGACACATAAAAACTGATGTAAATTTATGTTATTTATATGTTAAGTGTATGATGTAAATTTGGTTTTTCAATAGCAAAAATGAAAAAAGCTCGTTTTTAGTGTTGAAAACAATCTAAGGAAAGAGCACGCACTGGTTGATGTCACCTTTATCTGTCTGTCCTCTTATCGATATAATATAACCAATGAATAATCAATCAGCGCGAGAAATTGTTAAGTTATTGTACAAGGCTTTTGGTGAGAATGTTTGCAAAAGGTGAAATGAAACGCGGGAAATGGTCATCTATACCATTTGCGTTAAAGAAGACAACCTAATGTATATTAGCAATATTCACTCACGTATTCTATTAGGTTCAAATGAGATTTAGGCATTTACCAACTTCCTTCAACGCGCTTAATTAAAAACGTTTTCGTCTGTAGCTCCAAGGCGTTAGGTACACCCGTTATTATAATAGTAATGGCTGTGTTATGACTATTGTGAATAGATTATATAGTCCGAAAAAATGTTTATGTTGAAATATATGATTAAATAAAGGCAAAAAGAAAAAGAAAAGCAAAGGAAGCCGGGTGGATCTCATAGTTTTGATCTTCTTAAGAGGAGTGGGTGGTCTATAAAACCGTAGGTTAAACTGCACATCATTTGCATTTCCTGCATGCCATCTTGTGAAGTAATCATATTTTGACTTCGTTTTAAACTGGCCAAGAAAAAAGAAGATCCTTCAAAGTTTAAAACCCCCTCTCTTTTACTGATGACCGGTCCCTATAGCATCAAATAATTTCATGGTCTTGCCTGATCGAAAAGAGTGTATTTTGTTCAATAAACCAGTTAACGTTCACAGTTTAAAAATCGTTTTCAGTGCGCATGCGATTTTATCCCGAATATCTCACCTTTTAGTTATTCAAACCTTCTTTTGTTCTTAATTAAACAAAAGAAGGTTAGAAACTCGGGATAAAATCGCATGCGCACTGAAAACGATTCTTAAACTATGAACTGACTTATCTAAAATGAAAGTTTTTTAAGTGTTTCAATTGATTCTTAGAATGACTACAACGGCACGTAAATGGCAGCAGAGCAATAACAGCATCAATAACCGCAATATTAGCATCAATAAACAAGTTGACGAGTGTCTATCGTATGTGTACACCTACTTGCAAGAACGGCGTTGTCATACGAAAATAGAACATTAGTGATTTATAGTGGGATAGGAATTATATTAAAAAGCAAAAAAAGATCACTGGAGCTGAACTTTTTCTTTTGTCTTTTAATGTATTCCTTTCTCACAAAGTTACTAATGTTTTGATATGGTATGATAACGTTCATTCAAGTAGGTTTAAACAATATGTTATGTTTGATGCATTCCAAATTACTTCCTGCTGTTTTAAAAACACGTGCAAATTTGAATTTGGATATTTCGTATTTTTCTCCTAGATTAATCTAGATGTTGATCATTATGTGTTTTCACAGTTTCGTAGGCGTGAAAATTTGCCGTATGCCAAAGCGACATTTTCTTTCATATTCTTAACTTCCTACTCGGCTTTCCAGTTTTTTGTTCTGTGCTGCTAATTTGTTTTTCTCTTGTTTTTTCTTTCCTGAGCAGGTTATTTTACTTTTGACCTTTTCATCGTTTCTATCAATTATCAGAAACGGATTCTCCGAACTGCTTTTCAAAATTAAACATGCTCTTTGTAGTTAAAAATATATGTTTTTCCATTTGATTTCCGAGCGCTTTCTCTTTCTCTTTTTCGTGCCCATCTTCATATCTTCGATCTTCTTTCTATTTCTTAACTTTTTCTTGCATTATTGCGCGTGTGATAAAAGCTCGTGACTTTCTTGTATCCATAGTTTCTGCTTTTCCTGTTCCTCTTCATACCTTTGTTATCCTTTTTTTTTTTTTTCTTTTTTCTTTCGTATTTTCTTCAAAATTAATTGGTTGTTCTATCATGACGTTTTTTTCGTTTTCAATTGCCTCGAAAACAATGCAGCTCGCATTTCTTTTTCATCAGATCTCGATGGCGTTAGTTGGTGCATACAAGTACTAGTTGTCTGTCATTAGTCATTCGCTCCGAACAAGCAGCTAATCTAGAAGCAATCGCATACAAGGTAAACCTTAAAATCATCTCCAAACAAAAATTAGTTAAACGAATTAATGTTATAACTAAGAAAAAATGTCAAGCGTTTTGCAATTTTTGGGAAATTATTCTTGGTAAAGTGGCTCATATCGAGTTTGATATTCGATTGCTGTGCACAGTTAAATGATGATGCACTTTTGATATATTGAATAACCGTTCTTGATAAATGCGTGGTCGAGAAGATGCTAAAATCTAACCAAACCACGATAAAAGATATAAAAAAGTAGTTTAGCTTGTTAGATGCAAGAAAGAGATCTCAAAACGCGAAGAGTTGTGTTTTGTCTGAGTGCCTGTAAATTAAAAATCGATAATCGGGCAGCAGTCTTTCGAAAAATGGAATTATTACTTTATTGTTGTCCAATACAACCACTTTGGTAAATCATTTTTGAAAAATAGCTTTTAAAAGTTCAAAGATGCCAGCCTTGACAATTAGGGTTTTCTATCGAGGAAATAGGTTGCAGGAAAGATTTTTTAAAATCTTTAATAAGCCTTTTCATAGTTTAAGAATCGATTCCACTGCGCATGCGATTTTATCCCGAATTTCTCACCTTCTTTTGTCTAAACCTTCTTTTGTT